AGAAGAGATGGCTTATCAGTAAGAAAACAAATTGTTATATTGCATACAGTCAATAAGACTAGCTTTAGATACTGTGCACTGTGTAGGTTTATTTATTTTTTATTAATAAGGAAAACTCAGCCATCATCAGGATATTTTAGAATTCTAAAGACCTTAGAAAAATCACTAACTAGATGCTTTTGAATAATTTGTCTTTATATTTTGTCTTTAAGTTGTAGAAAAGAGATCATTTTCTCATTTCAGTTTGATTAAATATCTTGGTTGGAAAAAATCACTAATTTACTACTACTTTTTAGAAAAGTTGTCATTTTTTAAACTGCGCTACTTATAGCTAATCAAATGTTGTATTTATTATGTTTAAATAAATTTATAGATGATGTTTCTGAAACTAAAATTGTTTGCATTTTTCTTTAAGAAAATATCTAGCCCTAGCCAGTGTGGCTCAGTGGATAGAGTGTCTGCCTATAGACTAAAGGATCCCGGGTTCGATTCTGGTCAAGGGCATGTACCTCAGTTGCAAGCTCCTTCCCAGCCTGGGCCCTGGTCAGGGCATAGTCAGGAGGCAACCGGTTGATGTGTTTGTGACTTGTTTTTAAAAACTCCATACCTGGTCTGTGCTCTTGTGTACACAGTAAAGGAGGATTGTAGCTCTCTTAAATGACATCCAGCCTGACAATGCTCTAACCATAGGGCCACCCCAGCCAGGATTATAGTTTGCATTTTTAAAGATCTTTACAATTCTTTATTTGGGGCAGCTCAGATAGGAGGGTAGAGGTGGTGGATATTTTCAGTGGCTCTTAAAATCCCACGCCTTTCTTTTCTAGAACTTTGTTCCAATTCAAATGCACAATTCGAATCTTGAGAGTAGAATGTTGGTATTAGACACACTAACAAGAACTTAGAACAGCTAACAGATTCTGTGTCTAGAGTGAGAGCGGGACACGAGACTTGAAGTAGCCCAAGGAGCAAGGAGCCCAGGCAGGAGGTTTGCCTAGGATGTCACAGGAATGGGGCGGGTGGTGGTTGGTCCAGAGAGAAGACGGGGAGAGAGGAAGGTGCATGGAGAGATGGGAGGGTTCTCAGACACTTAGGGGCCCGAGGGAGAGCTGCACTCCACCCGCCAGACATAGTCAGAGAGCAGGCCTGGGCCCGGAGAGAGGAGGCTCAGCCATTCTCCACCCCCAGGCAGATCCAGGTCATTGCTTTGTCAATCTCCCTCTCAGAAAAAGAGATTGAGAGTGGAATCACTTTCAATCTGCTCCCACTTTATTTTCTCTCCCACTTTTTTAAAGTAAAATATTCATCCATGAAGAATAACATTACTTGCGCCTGCGTCAGGATAGCTTTCCTCCGAATACCTGCATTTGCTGGGAGCTCTGGTAGCACAGTGTTTGAAAACTCCTGATCTGAGATGAGCTGCCTTCTATGTCAGGCCTTGAGAAGGCAAGCCATGTGACCAGGACACCACAGTGAGGTCTCCTACCTTGTGCTGGCGATCGGACCAGATGACCTTTAGATTTCCAGGTTAACTTGATGAAGATTACAGTTAACTAGTTGGTAGGTCATAATTTAAGAGAGAGAGTTCCTCACCCCAGTCTCATAATTGCCTGTTCTGTGTGACCCGTCAGCTGAAGGCTTTGTGTATCTCAGTGAAATACAGTGTCTTAAAGACATTTTATATTTCAAACTCACACGAGATAGGTTGAGTACAATGAACCCCTGTGTTCCATTATCTATCTGTAACAAACATCAACCCATCAACACACTTATTTTGTCCTTATTCTTACCTATTACCCATCCACATTAAGTTATTTTGAAGCAAAAATCATATTTAATTTATAAATATTTTAGTACATACCTCTAAAAGATAAATCCCCTTTTTAAAATCTGTCACTACAGCTTAAAAATAAAAACAACCTTGGTCCTATTTTATCTTTAATTTTGTGGTGTGCCATTATCAATTATAATACATACAGCTTTACACATATTACCGTCTTCAGTATGAATCTTAAAATCAGTGATATCACAGCTTGTTTTTCAAATGTAGTATAAGATACTGGCACATCTCACATTTGACAATATCAAATATAATGAAAATGCTGTGTTACAAAATGGTTTTCTTTGAACATATACCTAAAACATTTTCAAGTTACCATTTTCTTACTTTGAGGCCTGAGTAATGAGAGGACAACCAGAGGTTAGTCAGTTCATTTGGATGGGTGTGTAGCACAGAACCTCTTTGTCTGTAAACATTTCCTAGGGTTTTCAGTGCAAGCCAGTCTTTTGTCTTTGCCTGGCCCCTATCAAGGGTTAAACTCCATCCAAACCCTTTCACTATCAGACACAATGAAGAAGATGTGAATTAAGACAAGAGGAGAGTTGAGAGGACCTGGGCTGAGGCAGTTCTAAAATAGAAACTGAGGGGATGAACACCAAGGGGCTGGGTCCCTAAGGTTCCTGTGACCGCACTAGGGATGTTGGCAGCCCCGTGTGAGTCACCGAGTGCAGCCCCTCCACTGCCCCAGCCCTGCCCCTTTTTGAAAAGGCCATGTTGTCCTCAAAGAAGACAGAGGGGGAGGTACCACCAACAGCTGCAGCCAGACAGCTGTGTGTCTTAACTGTTGGTGTCATCCCATAGAAGCACATGTGAGCTACAGGAAAGCAGAAGTAAAATTGTAAAACTGCCTGAAAAATCAGGATTACAAAATATTTCAAAAATGGAGATCATTTTATAACTTCAGAGATGCATTTATAATTCATAGCCTCCTTTTGTTTTATAATATTTTTAAAAATTTTTATTTCAGAGAGGAAGGGAGAAGGAGAGAGAGAGAGAGATAGAAACATCAATGATGAGAGAGAATTATTGATCGGCTGCCTCCTGCACACCCCCAAATTGCAACCTGGGCATGTGCCCTTCATTGAAGTGAAACCGGGGACCCTTCAGTCTGCAGGCTGGTGCCCTATCCACTGAGCCAAACAGCCAGGGCCATCGCCTCCTTTTGTTTACGGGTAATGCCAGGGTTGGTCATTACGGGTAATGCCAGCATCTGTTGGTCTTCCAAACCTAAACAGCCATGCCCTGGGTGCCACTCTGACCTAGACACCACGACACAGCTCTGCATCCATGGTACAAGATTCTGTGATGTCTAGCCCTGGCATTGAGTGTGTGTGTGTGTGTGTGTGTGTGTGTGTGTGTGTGTGTGTGTGTAGTGGGAGAGGTGTCTTGGGGTGTTGTGAGTACCAAGCCTTCCAGAGGCCACCCAAGTGCCCCCAACGCCTAAGATTCATACCCTGTGTATCCAGGGGATATTTTGGAACGTTTTCTGCTTGTATTTCACAGGTGCAGCTGAGCATTACATGATGATTTTGTATTTTTCTGTTTTGCCTCCTCTTCCACCCCCAGTTATTTGTATATTTGTTAATTTTAGAGAGGAATAAGGGGGGGGGGGAGTGGTAGACATCAATTTGTTGTTTCTCTTATTTATACATTCGTTGGTTGCTTCTTGTTTGTGTCCTGACTGGAGATCAAACCCACAACCTTGGTGTATAGGGATAATGACCTAACCAACAGAGGTACCTGGCCAGGGCGAACTGTTTTGCTTTTAAATCAGAATGGTTTTCTCCCCAAACCATCATTACATAGAAAATTCCTCACCAGTATTTTTCTGCTCAGTTTTCTGATCTGTAAAGTGAGTTGTGAATCAGTGGTTTGGAGAATAATGAAAATTCATTTCACATAGAAGCATCCCTGTAAACATTGCTTGTTATTTGCATTACACGCAAGGGGGAGGAGGTTGAAATGCACTATTGTGGCTTTACCAACAGACCTTGATATTAATAATCTCAAAGACATCGCTTCTCTGTGTTAGGATATTTGTTGCTTTTTGCTCAATAAATGGTACATATGAAGCAAATTTAAAATAGTGTTAGAAAACCTGTTACTGAATTAAGTGTGTAACCAAGTTATTAGGTTTTATAATTTTGCATTACATCCCTAATTGTAGTTTGCGCCAATATGGTTTTGATTGGCCTGGACCCTGCTCTCTTCAGTTTGAGGTTGCACATGGTGGCTGGGGTGGCAGTGGATTGTGCATGTCCTCTCTGACTGGCAGTGGAGTGGCCGGGGTCAGAAGTGAGTGTCCTAGGTTCTAGTTCTTTAGTTTAGTACCAAACCATGTAATATTTGCAGAGAGAAGAATCAGATGAATAATTTCCCAAACTGCCAAAAATAAATTTGGAATGGGTAATTTGTTAGCTGGGGACTTGAAATACATATATATCAGTGTGTGTGTGTGTGTGTGTGTGTGTGTATCTGTTTCTCTTCAACTGTCTTCAGTGTATATGTGTGTGTGTGCGTACAGACATACATCTTGTTTTAAAGAGTTATTTTAGCAGGTCTGTCATGAGACATGAAAATGCCTAAAGAAATGAATTGTAAAATATATAGTGGATTGGTTATAGCAGGAACAGCAGAGGGGAGTTTATTTACAATCATTATGAGAGGTGAGGTTCTTCTGCCTTCCTCGATGCTATAATCGAAAGTACTTTTGTCATCTCCTATTCTTCTCCAAGCTGCTGTCCTCGGGAGGCTGGTCCTGTGCCAGTTGGCAGGGATAAGCTAGTAAGATAAGAGGCGCTGTTTTGTGGGCTGAACTCCAGAGCACCTGGGCCTTGTACCTGCACCCAGACTTACCCCACTCATACTGTGCCTCCTCTTCTGTTCTTCAAAGTGGTTTCAAATGCCTTGGCCTCACTGCACATTTGAAATGAGGTGTATTTAACCAGGGCTTAGTAGGAACAAATGTAATAATATTATTGAGTTCATGGGCACCGGTTGGCATTATGTTGTGTGAATCAAGGCACGAAACGGGCGAGGGACAAGGATTGCTTAATATAATGATGACCATCACTAAATTCAGTTGTTTTTAGGAGGCCTTAACGAATGTTTCCCTTCTCTTTCCTTCTCAAATGGCTGTTTCCTGACCCATCCTTCGCTCCAGGATTTACGCAAGCAGGTAGCGCCGCTGCTGAAGAGCTTCCAAGGGGAGGTAAGCGTTTATATTTATTTTATATCCTGAGCCACCCTTCATAGTTTATTGCACTTTCTTTTTATTTTCATTAAGTGAAAGCCATTAATAGAAGGTGCTTCCCCAGCCAGAGCTCTCCCAGCTGCACAGACCCAATGTCGTGCAGAGTTTACGCTTCCCGATGTGATGTTTCCACTGGGTGGATGGAGCTTGTTTGGACCACAGCCTGTGGGAGCTGAACTTCCTCGAACTCACCAGGTCCCTGAGCTGTCAGGGGCCACAGCCAGGAGGCCTCCTGTGTGGAAGGGACGGAGTAGGGCGACCTGGTACTCTCATGTGCAGCCGTCAGGGGAAGAGGAATTTCACTTGATTGATTAATAAAAGACCAACAGATAGAAGTCACGAGGAATAAGCCTGAGCTCAGTATAAGGAAAACTTTTCTAATCTTTGCTTCCAGAGAAGGACAGGGCAAGATGGTGGGCGGGCTGCCGGTCATGTGAGACGTGCGCTCCCACCACCATAGAGTAATATCCACAGAGAGGACAGGTGGTAGAGTTGGCCAACACTCCAACTCCTACTCTGTCTTTTTGGAAGAGACAGGGTGGATTTTAGAAGGCCAGACATTTTGTTATTGGTGTGGAGTTATTCACTCGGCCCTTGGCTTCTCCTGTTGGGATGATGGAAGTAGTAATACTACCGAGGAAAGGCAGAGACTTCCTTAAAGTCTTCTAAAGAGCCCGTAGTGGAGGATGTTCTCTCTTCAGAGAGAACAGGGAGCAGGAGCAGGATTCAGGGAAGTGAGGTGGCAGGTTCGGGAGTGACGTGAGGCTGTGGGGTGCCTCCTGAGACACAGCGCTAAGGAGGCTGGACTCCTTGGGTAGTTCCTCAGCATGCTGGCGACAGCAGAGGGCGAGGGCACGAATGAGGGTAGGAAGATGGCAGTGGGATGCGTGCGAGGAGATTCCAGGACAGTGAGGGCTGGTGAGCACTGAAGATTTTAGACCAGTGCCTGGTGGCTTGTGTAGAAAGACGAAGCAGCAGTGACGGCTGGTGAGCACTGAAGATTTTAGACCAGTGCCTGGTGCCTTTCTCTGTTCATAACTCCTGGCTGCTGGGAGCCTCTGAACCTGGCTCTGTAAGGCGCGGGGGATGTCACCATCCCAGGTCTGGGAAGGACAGAAGTAAGTGCCTTTCCCTCAGAAGTGCATCTCATCATTCTGTGAGTGTCTGTCACCTTATACCACCCACATCTGATCTGATCTCTTTCTTTGCCTGTTCAGCAGCTTTTGTGAGGCCCACAGGCTTAGTGTTTCTCTACCTGAAATAGCTCTGTGTGATGTTTTCATTTACTTGTTTTTCTTTCTTTTTGAAAAAGTTCAAGTCTGCATAAAAGTAAAAATATTAGTATAATGACTACATGTACACCCTTTACCCAGACTCACCACTTGTTGACATTTTGCCACATTTACTCCCCACTCTGTTGTTAAACATTAGGAAGTAAATTGTAGATGACACAGCACTTTACCCTTAAACATACATGTGTATCTCCTAAAAAGAATATTCCCTGACATTTCCACAATAACCCCGAGTATCCCACCTGAGAAAATTAACACTAATTCCATGATATCCAATATTCAGTCCAAAAATAAAATTTCCCTACTTATCCCCAAATTGTGTCTTAAAACTGCCCTGCCCCCAACCAGGTTTCAGTCAAGTTCATGTATTGCATTTGGTATATATATATAAAATATATATTTATTTTTTATTCCATAACTACCCCCCCCATACCCACCTCCACCCACCCCAACCCCCATAATTACCACACTGTTGTTCATGTCAATGAGTGTTTTCTCCTTCTCCTTCTCCTTCTCCTCCTCCTCCTCCTCCTCCTCCTTCTTCTCTCTCTCTCTCTCTCTCTCTCTCTCTCTCTCTCTCTCTCTCTCTCAATGCTCTCTCCACTACCTCTTACCTTTGTTATTATTTTTTGTTCTAGATAGAATAATGGGTTTGGTTCTAGATAGTAAATTTGAAATGCCTGAGAAACATCAAGGCTTTTTATTTGGCTATATTTTAATGGCTATTTATAAAGTAAAGATTTTTATAGTACCACTAATATTTAGGAAGCCTTTGCTAATTATACCATTAATATTTAGGAAGCCTTTGCTAATTACTACACACACACACACACACACACACACACACACACACACTGTGGTCCAAACAGTGAGGTTCCTCAGGAGGCAGAATTATATATATTATAAATATATATAATCTGTGTTACTAGCATGCTGATTGTAGTGGAAGGCACTAAATCCTGCTTGTCTCTGAAGAATGGGCTTTTATGCAGAGGGCAGCTGCAGATGGGGACCACACGTGTAGGGCTAGTTTTCTGCTGAGTGAGGCCAGAAAGCAGCCTGTCTTGGTGCTTTGCTGGAGCAGGACCCATTCAGCTTGCCTTTCTAAAATGCTGCCTTCTCTGATCAGAGGTTTGTTCTTATACCCTTCATTAGTGTTTGCTGAGTGCAGTTTTATTTATTGGATATATTACTTGAGTCATCCCAAGGTGCTTGAGTTCCCATTGGAAAATTGTATAATATTAGAAAAAACATGTTCTTTGCCTCAGAATTCATATAGATTACTTCTTTATTTGAGATCCCCAAAAGAAAAACAAAACAAAATAAAGCCTTCAGACAGCAGTAAATTCACACAAGACTTCAGTGTTCTTGCAAGTCAGGGAAACATAAACCTCACTGGGCACCACTTTTAGGCCCCTCAGTGTTTTCTTGTTCTCGGGGTAAATCTAGGCACCTTCCTTCCTGTGGTTTATGAGACATGCATGATGGTAACTGCTTGCCTTTCTAGATTTTCTTACTGGAAAGCCCATCGCACAGCCATTCTGAATTTCTACGAGGCCCTTATGCGTTGAGTGTCCTCACCAGCCTCCAAGCCTTTGCATGGGCTGTCCTCTTCCTGAGACACTCCTTCCCCCTTTCACTTGTGCTGCCTCACTTCTGCTTAAAGTCACTTCCTCAAGAGGAGCCTTTTCTGAACCTCAGTGATAGGCCAGGTCCCCTGTAGCAGGTGCTCCCATTGCACGCCACACTATTTGTGACCCATTTGTCATCATTTCTGAGAGCTGCCTGTGACTTTGTCTCTGTTTCCCAGGAGTCTGTAAATGTGTGAAGGCAACCTCTATGTCCTGTCTTGGCCATTTGTATTCCCAGCACCTGGCATAGCAACCGGAACTAAAGTATTGGGCTCTCAGAAATAGTTACTGAATAAATGCTTGAACAGTGAGGTTCCTCAGGAGGCAGATTTTAAAACATTTGCCTTTATCTTTTCTTCAGTAGTTTTATTTGTTTGTTGTGTGTTGCTAATAAGATGAAAGGGACCCAGAATATATGCTTGGGAAATTCATTAGAAAAAAACTAATAAATAACTGTATTTGTTGTCCTTGATTAAAAAGTTTGGGATGCTGGACTCATAACAATTACTTATAATTATTAGAGCAAAGTCATCAAATTTAACTTACATTGAAATTAGATTTCTCTACGTTTGTGTTTAACAAGCCCAGCCAACTGATTAGTGAAAATAGGAGGAGTAACCTAAATGGTCAATTCAATTTATGGCAGATTGTAATTTAGACAATCCCTCCAATGAAAAGACACTAACACTCTGTAGAAAAATGCTAACTCTTTCCAATTGTCTCCCTCTCTCCTGGCTTCTCTCCCTGAGAAGGGTCATGGTAAGGAGGGTTGAGGGGATTAGGAGTTGGCTCAGGCTCCCCTCTTCTTGGTAGGAAAGCAGGTGCTTAAACCAAGTGTCCTCAGGGAGGAAAATCTCCTCTTAAATAACTCAGGTGCTTAGAGAGGAAATAAAAGACTGAAAAATTGATTAGCTTAGCATCCAGTTTAGATAATCATGACAGTACAATGGAAGAAGCTAAAAGAAAATAGAAAGAACTAGTCAAAAATTTTAATACTGTCTTAAAAACATATAAGAATGAAAGTGAATGAGAAAGAAAACAAAGAGCCAAGAGGGAAATAGCCCCAAAGTTGGTTCATTGAAAAGACTGCAATAGACAAACTACTTTCCTAATTAATTTTTTTAAAAATGTAGGAGTGCTAATAGAGATAACTTTGCAACTAGAGCAGAGATTAAAAAGATAATAGGGTAATATTATAGTCAATTTTATGCCAATAAATTTTAAACCCTAGACAAAATGGACAAATTTTTAGAATACTATAACATCAAAGCCGATTAAAGACGAAGTAGAAAACCTGAATAGCCTTACAGCCATTACAGAAATATTTCCACAAGGCCTAGAAATTTTTATGAGAGAATTCTATCAATCATTCATAAAATAGATAGTTCTGATCTTTTTCAAACTCCTTCAAAAAATAGAAAAAGAGAGAGTGACTAGTGTAACCTTTATGTCAAAACTCTACAAGAACAGTATGAGAAAGGAATATTGAAGTAGTTTTATTTGTTTGTTTGTTTATTTAACAACACTAAATTATTATTTTATAAGTTTGAAGATCAGAGGTTCAAAGTGAATCATCTGTGCTGCAATTTTTCCAAAGATTCTGGGCATGGAATTTATTTCCTTGCTTTCTTCCAGCTTCCCAAGGTGGCTCACATTCCTTAGCTCATGGTCCAGCATCACTCTAACTTCCGCTTTTGCTTTTTGTTTTGTTTTGTTTTGTTTTAAATAATTGTTTCTTGTTGAAAGTATTACATATGTCCCCATTTCCCCCCCATTGACCCTCTACAGCCCGCTCCTGACCCCCACCCCTCCAGCCTTCTGCACCCTATTGTCTGTGTCCATGGGTTATGCATATATGCACACAGGGTCTTTGATTGATTACCTCCTATCCACCCATCTTCCCCTGTATTCCCTCTGAGATTCCACACTGTGTTCCATGTCTCTGGATCCACTTTGTTTGTCAGTTTATTTTGTTACTTGGATTCCACACATGAGTGGGATCCTGTGATACCTGTCTTTCTCTGACTGTCTTACT